TCTCCACGGTGCACAGCACGTAGTCGGGCGCGATGCAGGTCTGCCCCGCATTGAAGAAGCGGCCCCAGGCCACCCGCCGCGCCACGTTCTGCACGTCGCAGGTGTCGGACACGTAGCAGGGGTTCTTGCCCCCCAACTCCAGCGTCACGGGCGTCAGGTGCTTGGCAGCCGCTGTCATGATGATCTTCCCCACAGAGGGGCTGCCTGCAGGCAGGTGAAGAGGTGTCACAGCAGGGATGCCACCAGCCAGGGCCAGGGGAAACGCACCAAGTCCCACCAGACCCTCAGACACATGTTTTGGTTTCTCCAACAGATCCTGACACCAGATCCCTGCCTTCGCCGAGGGCAGGGAAGGGGTCCTGCTCGCAGGCAGGCTGCCCAGCATGTCACCCAGGGTGTGCCTCAGCGGGGTGTCCAGAGGGAACCCCTCGTCCTCATGGCACAAAAACCAGGCAGGGCTCAGTTCTGGCCCCACGGGACGTACCGGTGAAGAAGATGTAGTCGAATTTGTTCTCCAGCAGTTTGGTGGTCTCCTCCACACCCGCGGTCACCACGGCAAAGCAGTCCTGCAGCGGAAGAGGAAGGGTCAGCATCTGCCCGGCCACTCTGTCCCTATCCCAGGGACAGGGACAGCATCCCAGGCTGCTGGGCTTGAGGACATTGGCTGGGCACAGAGGAGGGAGGGACGGCAGCACATGAGACCGGGGATGGGTGGTGCTGGTGTGTGCCAGGCAGGGTTGGGGACACCACGGCCCAGGGCCAGGGCCAGGGCCAGGGACAGCGTCTTACATTGTCCAGGTAGCAGGGCAGCACTTCGGCCACGAGTCTCTCCGTGTGCTTGGACGTCTCCGAGGGTTTGATGATGACACAGTTACCTGGGGGAGATCAGATGGGACATCAGAGCAGTGATGTGGTGACAGCGGGGGGGGCGTGACCCCGGCCAGCCCCCCAGTGCCTGGGCCAGAGGCCAGGTTTGCTCACCGGCAGCGATAGCCCCGATGAGGGGCACCAGGAAGAGGTGGATGGGGTAGTTCCAGGGCGCGATGATGAGCACCACCCCATACGGGTCCTTGCGGATGAAGGCAGAGTCCAGCTGCATCACCTGCGAGCAAGGCCACCATCTCGGAGCTGTCCCCACCGTCCCCTGCCCTCCCTCAGCCCCGCACGCAGCGCTGCCCACCCCACCCCGCTCTGCCCCTCACCGCCTGCAATTTCTCTCCCCATTTTCCCTTCCCGGGTCAGCCCAGAGCTTCCGCTTTACCAGGCTCTTGTCCACGTGCTCGTCCTTCATCCAGCAGGACAGGTTGTTCAAGGTGTTGTTGAGCTCGTTCTTGCAGAGGAGGATCTCGGAGAAGTAAGCCTCAAAGGATGGCTGGGGACAGAAATCACATCAGTGTCACCCCAACACCCACCCCGGCTCCCCTCTTCTGCCCGGAGAGAGCAGGAGAAGGATTGAGCAGAAGCCATTACGCAGAAGTTGTTCTCGCCTCCTGCAACGTCCAGGGAACATCACAGTCCCTGAAATTTTATGAAAACAGGTATTTGGCCAGAGGAAAATAAACAATATTTAACATCTTCACAATATTTAACAGCACCTGGGAGCTGCTCACCTGGCAACAGAGCCCTGAGCCCAGGGGGGACCCAGCAATGTCACCAGAGCTCCAGAAAAGCTCAGACCAGTGTCAGAGGCAGCTCCGCTCTTGCGCTGGAGCATGTGTGTCCCGACCACCCGGGCACAGGAGCTGGAAGCCAAGCCCTGAGCTCCCTCCCACAGCCCCTGCACCAAAGCTGAACTCAAGACCTCGCTTTGTTCAACGGGAAACGGGAAGAAGAGGAACTGCTTCATTAAAAACCCGGTGATGGAGCTGGGCTGAGCATCCAGGCAGAAACCCCCCAGCAGCTCCGGGGGCTCCTGCGCCCAGCCCGCACACGGCTGGGAAAGGCAGGCAGGGGGAGATGCCCCAGGTGGGGAATGACACCAACCCAGCAGGTTTCTCCAAGATAGACCGTCCCAACAGGCCACGACTAAACAGACAGAGACTTGGGAGCAGTGGCAGGACACAGGGGCCACCGAGGCATTTTCTGTAGGTGGTGGGTTCTCTCCACTGCCATGAAGCACAGCTCAGGACCGTTCTTGCAGAAGCATGAAGACACAAGGAGATAACTCAGCAGGCTCCGTCCAGCCCCTCCATCGCCCTGGAGAGCAAAGCTCCTGCGCCGTGAAGCTGCATTTGCAGCTGACACCCTCCACCGCAACGTCCTTTGGACTCCTCTGGCCCAAAACCATCCCTGGGTAGGAGCTTTCCTCCACGGCTGCAGCAAAACACCTCTTCGGGGCTGGAAAGTTTCATTGCTGACCCCCAGGCAGCAACTTCTCCACCATCAAGCCCCGCTCAAGAGCCCTCCAGGTCCCCAACGCGCCACTCGAGCGCCCGGACGCACGAGGAGGTTCCTCGACGCGAGGGCTCAGCAGGACGTCGGATGTCCGGTGAAGCAACGGGGCCGCTCTGAGCCCGGGCTGGCGGTTGCATCATGAGGAGGATGAGGAAATTGCCGGTGAAGATGGAGGGTTTATGTTGGGACACAGAGATTGTAAAATGGGAAATTAAGTCTGAGGTCATCCAAGTTCCTTCAGTCATCGGCGGAGAGACACCAGCATCCAGATGAATTGTCCGTGGAGCTATGAAGGCCCGACTGCATAACAAGCGTATTACTAGACAACCGGCTCTAATTACCCACAATTAGCAGAGATGAAGGACGCACTCCGAGCGCTGATGCCTATCAAGCCCCGGCTGGAGGAGAAGGCCGTCACCTCCAACAAACAAGGCAATTACAAGCCTGGCGAGATGTCAGGATGTCGAAAGTCGTGTCTGAGGGCACGGCCG